TCAAGCCCTATGACCATCCACAAAAAAAAGGAATATCACAGCTCTAACACAACTAACTTCCATTTGCGTGACTTCATTAAAATAAAACAACCATATTCTCCTCATTTAAAAAAAGCTGCAAGTGTCTATTTGGCGTGTAATATATCACATTGAGAGGTGGATGAAAAAGTTTCACAGTACATTAAAAATAATTTCATTTCTTGACACCAAATCACACTCCATGAATATAATTTATATGCCATAATTAATTACAGAGTTTCATTTGCTTTCTGTAACATAATTAACTGTGAATGATTACGTGTTGGCATTTAAATAAGTACATTTTTGGAATATTTAATTAAGAAACTGATGTAACTTACATCCAATTTGATTTTATGCTATGCTGGCTGTTTATAATGTATTCAAAACCACAGAAAAACATTTGGAGAAATGTGTAAGACTCCCTTGTGGTCCTACAAAACACATAAACTGAATCTCAACATCTAAATTGTTTTCATTTCCAAGGTGTGCTGGTTTTCTACAATGATTTTACTAGTGCTAATGTTTCCAGGACAGTTGGTAGGATATTTATAATTTTAAAAAGTTAAATTATAGCAGAAAATTTTTTATGGTTTTCCAGAAATGTACCAGTTGTCCAACAAATACGCAGTAAATATACTTATGTCATGATCTCTAACTCTAATTGCTAAAAATCTAAGGGAAAAATTCCCAGAAATAAAGCATAAAACATGTAGGATGCTGGAGGTAGCTCATAAGAGTATAAAAGAGCTGATTGCTAAGATTTCAGGAATTTGACAAGCCTATTGTGAAACACTGCCATTAATAAAAATTAATATAAATTCACATTAGCTATTAAAAAACAAAAGCAGTGGAATTCCAAGCCAATCATTTTCTATTTGTGTTAGTGTTATTATCATTTTTCTGGAGGCTTTTATATTTCCAGAACCTATTAAGACTACACAATATACAACTATCTCCTTCTTCCTCTTTTTGGTACTTGTAGTGGAGTTGAACTTAGAGCCTGTCACTCTCTCATTTGGCTTTTTTGCTCAAGGCTAGCACTCTACTGTTTGATCCACAGTTCTACTTCTGATATTTTGCTGGCCAATTAGAGCTAAGAGTGTCTGAGATTGTCTGCCCCTGAGTCTAGGGTTACAGGCATGAGCCACCAACACCCAGCAACAGCTGTTTATCTTTCCCACCTCCATATTTGAGGCTGACACATTGGCAATTTGAAATTGACTATGATGGAAATCATATCATGTCCATCACATGGAAAACAACCAAGACTGGTAACCATGATCTTCTGTCCCCAGCTTGGCCTCAGCTGCATATTAAACATTGACCAGATACAAGTGCCAGTTGCTCATACCTGTAATCTTAGCTACTAGGAGGTTGAGATAGGAGAATCACGGTTTGAAGCCAGCCTGGACAGGAAAGTCTGTGAGACTCTTATCTCCACTCAAGTAACAAAAAAAGCTGGAAGTAGAGCTCTGGCTCAAGTAGTAGAGCACCAGCCCTGAGCAAAAAGAAGTTCCAGAACAGCACCTAGGCTCTGAGTTTAAACCCCAGGACAGGCACCAAAAAAGTTAACCAGAATTCTATCACATTGGATGGCAATTCACACAATAAAACAGTATATAAAAGGCCACATGGATAGTTCTGGCTTGTGAGCATACACAAATTCAGGAAAAGGTGTGGGACATGGTAGAACCTTTGCAAGAACAGACAGATTAGTCTTACAGAGAGGAGTAGAAAATTAACTTACACAGTGATTCCACTGACAAGAAGAGTTGTAGCAGCCACAAGAAACACATTACAGCTACATTTATAGACATATCTCACCTGACCCTGAATGGAGAACAGATTTTTAAAAGGATGTTGGTTTCCAAGTATTGTCAAAATACAATATAATAATAAATGCTTCAGCCCTGGAGAAAAGGAATGGAACTTTTCCTTTGGGAACAAAGGGAAGTGGTGGCAACCTTTCCTTTTTTTCCTAATGTTAGGAGCTGATGACCAATCAAGTTGTGAATTTTTGTGTTAAGTTTTAAATAAAACGGAAATTTTTTTAAAGATCTAATTAAAATTAGCTAACTTTTGGCCCTTAAAAGAGTGTGATTCTAGAGAGATCTAATACTATTTTTATTGGAATATAACATCAAGAATAAGGCTGAGTTAAACACACTTTAACATTGTCTCTTTATTCCTTTTCTTGTATTCCATTACTGATATACACCACACACACACACACACACACACACACACACACACACACACACACACACACACACACAGCAGTTCTGTAAGGTTTAGTGCATCTTTTTGCCTATATACTTCTTTCAAAATGTGTGCATGAAAATATATGCATATATGTGTGTACATGCATGTATGTATGCGTGCACGCATGCATATATTGGTATGCGTGTGCCAGTTCTGGAAATTGAACTCAAGGGTTCAACTTTGTACTTTAGCTCTTGTCACTCAAGGCTAGCACTCTACCACGTGAGCCACAGCTCCATTTTTGGCTTTTTGGTGGTTAATTAGAGTTAAGAGTTCTCATGGACTTCCCTCACCTGGCAAGCTTCAAATAGCAATCCTCAGATCTTAGATCTGAGTAGCTAGGATTACAGGTATGAGCCACCAATGCCCAGATGCATGAATATATATGCTTCATTGAATGGCGCACCCTAGGTTTACCAAGAAAATTTAATTTTCCACCTAATCAGCATATTATGGTCTTTACTCCAAACAGTAGCTATTTTACAATCTCAAGAGACTATCTTTGGGGCCCATTCTGGATTTCCTAGTAAATCACCAGGAAGCTGAGATAAAAATACTCAGACAACCTCAGCAAGCGGGAATCATTGATCTGTTTGGACAGATGCTGCCTGAGTTTCCCCAGCTGCTTGTTCACTTGGGCCACTCTCCTAAATCTAGATGCTGAAGAGGTTTCTTAAGTGATACAGCACAATCATGTTTATTTGAATCACTCCAGCAATTGGAGAATCATCTTGAGAACAGCAACGGTTGGGTTCTCTCTGTTCTTGGATTCAACATGTTCCTAGTTCAGCAATTTCTTATAATGTGTCTCAAATTGAACCTGATGAAATTGCATTTCATAGGCATAGACAATTGGCCAGCTGTGGGAATAAGAACCAGCAAAACGCCACCAAAAGCCGAGAAAAAAATCCTCAAACTATTCCCATATCAGAAGTGATTATTATTCTGATTATAATTTCGTATGGAAATTTCAGAAATGTTTGGTACCAGGAGGAAAATTTATGTCAGCAATTAATGACACCACCCAGAGCACAGTGGTCTAACCCTTAGACCGCTTGATATGGTCTCCAACAGATGAGCAACTCACTCACATTAGATTTTGTCTGTTACTCAACATGGTAGTGTGCTTTTGTAACACTGCCAGGGAACTATAGATGGAACTGTTTCTGTCTATAACTTTTTAATAAATTACGTTAGCTCTTCTAAGTTGTAGTTGTAGTTTAGCCATCTGTGAATGTGAATGAATAGGCCTATCTTACAGTCTGTCAAAAATTACTTAACTCATGTTAACTCTAGTTCAATCAATGCCTAGTTTAATGTCTGGCATAAGTAATGTTCAGTAAGCATAAGTTCCTTTGTCTTGTGTGTCTGAGCCACATAGGTGAGGGTCTATCAAAATAAATCAACAAATAAATAACTAAATGAAAACAATGGGGTGAACACCAAGTCCAATAGACTGCCATTTTTTATAACATAACAAGGAATGATTTTCACACTTTAATTTTTTTTATTTAAGTATTTTGAGATACTGGCATGTGAACTCTAGACCTTGTACTTGCTAGATAAGAGATTTACTACTTGATCCATACCTCTAGCCCTTCTTTCTTTAGTTATTTTACAGATAGAACATTTCACTTTTGCCTAGGCCAGTGTAGGTTCACAGTTTTTCTATCTATACTTCCCATGTATCTAAGATTACAGTTATGAAACACAAATTTGTTTAATGAAATGAGGTCTCACTCATTTTTTTGTCTGGTTAGCCTTGACCCAGAATCTTCTTGATCTCTTCCTCCTAAATAGTTAGGATTACAGTCATGATTCACTATGTGATGCAAGGTATGCCTTAAAGTATATGCTAGCCACCTTTCCATTTAAAATGTAATAAATGTCTGAGATAAGTCAATATTTTAGCAAAAGGTTTATTTTGGCTCACAGTTTTGGACATTTTGATTCGTGCTCAATTTACCCTATTGCCTTTAGGCTATGGCAAGAGCACATCAAGGAGCCACACAATGAAGAGCAAACTATTCATTTCATAGCAACCAGGAAGGGAAGAGAGGAAGGGGAAGGGACTAGGATCCCACAATCCTCTTCAATGGCTCAGCCCAATGGCCGGATGACTTTCCCTCTTTACCTTTAAAAGGCTTGACCTCTTAAAGGTTCTATCCCCTCCTAGTCATACCCTAGGCCTTTATTTACCCCACAGAGCTTTGAGGGACACTTACACAAACTGTAGCATGGAGTACATTCAATAGGTCTGTCAGAGCTTCACTATTACAGGAATATCTTTGAACAGATGGATTTGCAAGCAGAGTAGAAATATGCCATGGAATCTAACCCATTTGTAAATTGAAATTACCTTTACAAGGAAAAATGTACTGCCAAGTTCAAGTGGCTCATGCTTGTAATACCAGTTACTCAGGAGGCTAAGCTTCAGTGGATCATGTTTAGAGACCAACCTGGGAAAAAGCATCCATGAGACTCCATCTCCAATTAACCAGAAAAGAAGCTGGACTGGAGGCATGTCTCAAGTGATACAATGCCAGTCAAGAAAGCTGAGCAAATATGAAGCCAGGAGTTCCAGCACTAGTACTGAAAAAAAGGAAGGAAGGAAAGGAGGGAGGGAGGGAGGAGGGAGGGAGGGAGGGATGGGGAAGGGAGGGAGAGAGAGAGAGAAAGGAAAATGTATTTGTCTAAATATAATTTTTACCTCCCAGGCCTGTCAGAGAATTTGCTATGCCAAGAGGAGCAAACACTTTTTGCTACTGTTTAAAAGCAAATGTGATTGTCACTGGAGGTAAGTGGATAGATCGCATTATTGAAAGGTTTTCTACTCTGAACACAGTATTGTTATTTTTTTACTGTGAGAATAATCTTTCAAGAGATTTAAAAGACCCATATAAAGTCAAATCTGTTTCTTTCATTATGAGAAAAGCCTTCCCCAACCCAAGAATATGTGAAACAAATTCCCTGCATTTTATTATAATTTTATCCATTGTTTTATATTCTGCCTTTAGAACTTTAATTCATCCACACCTTAAGGATTTGGGGGAGTTTGGGTGACACTGGAATTTGAACTCAGGACTTTCCACTTGCTAGGCATGTACTCTACCACTTAAGCAATGTCCCTACACCTTTTTCCTCTGGCTATTTTTTATTTAGGCAGGCTTGGACTGTAGTTATACTATTTACATTTTCCATTATAGCTTGGATGACAGGCATATGACACAGCACCCAGGTTTTTTTGTCATTGTTGAGATGAATATTTTTGCCCATGCTGTTTGGAAACACATTCCTCCAGGGATCTTCCTCCAGCTTACAGGTGTGAGCCATAGCACTAGGTTTAAGACTTTTATGATGAGAGCTTGAATTCCTGGTTCCTAAAGAAGTCCTAGGGCTTTTGAGGAAGAAGGGCATCTGTGTGTTTATAGATTCATTTTTATTTGGGTAAAGGCCCAACATTTTATCGTCTCAAAATAAGTATATGAAATTGAGAGGCAATAGATAATTGGTTTAGAATTGATGGATAGAAGAACCAGAGAACTTAGAGGAATTAAAGCTTTCTTGGGATAAGTGAAGTAGAAGATAGATTAGGCCATCTGTGGGGAAGAAAGTTTCAGGGGGAAAGTAGAGGATGGATAAGTTCTTAGAGATTCAGATCTTCCTGTCAAACTGAAGTTTTAATATAGTGTGATCACATCAAGACTGGTCTCTACAACCAGACTGTCCAGGCACAAAGCCACTTGAACATTATGTGGTGGGCAGGCATTTGCCTCTCTAAAGCTCCATCCTATCTCTAAGTAGCATTTATAATTGTACTTGCTTGTAAGGTTATTGCAAAAATTATTTTCCCAGGTTCAGTGGCTCACACCTGTTAATCCCAGCCACCTAGGAAGTGATATAGGAGCATGATAGGTACAGGCAAGCATAGACAAAATGTTAGTGAGATCCCATATCAGAGAACAAGCTGAGCATAGGGTTTAGCTCTCTCATCTCAACTGTGTGGAATCAGAGGTATAAGGATCATGGTCTGAGGCTGCAAGAATCTATCTGAAAAATAACTAAAGTGAAAAAGATTGGAGGCTTTGGCTCAAATAGTAGAGTGTTTGCCATATTAAGTGTGAGACTGAATTCAAACCCCAGTACCATCAAAAGTAATCTAAAGCTAGGCAAGAGTGTTTCACACACATCATCCTAGCTACTCGGGAGGCTGAGACATGGAAGAGTAACATTTGAAACCGTCCCAGGCAGAAAAGTCCAAGAGACTCTTATCTCCAATTAACCAGAAGAAGACCAAGCTTTTTGTGGCTCAAATGGTAGAGCACCAGCTATGAGCAAGTAAGCTGGGTAAACATGAGTAAGTTCAACCCCTAGTACTGGCAATATGCAAAAAGGAAGGACGAAAAGAAAGAAGGAAGGGAGGGAGGGAGGGAAGGAGGAAGGAAGGAAGGAAGGAAGGAAGGAAGGAAGGAAGGAAGGAAGGAAGGAAGGAAGGGAGGGAGGGAGGGAGGGAGGGAGGGAGGAGGGAAGGAGGGAAGGAGGGAGAGAGGGAAGGAAGGAAAGAAAAAGGAAAACAGAAAGGGAGGATTACTGGTACTATGACAACTACCTGGGATAATAAACTTAAAAGGAAGAAAACTTTGCTTCAGTACATGGTCATTTGGCTGTATTGTTTTAGGACTATGGTGTGGCAGGACATTTCAGTGGGAGTACATCATAAAGGAGTCCTATTCACCTTATGATATTCAGGAAGCAGAGATTTTTTTGTATGTTTTTTACTGTAAAAAATGTTGTACAGAGGGGTTACAGTTACATGAGCAAAGTAATGAGTACATTTCCTATTGAGCATCGTTGCCTCCTCCTTTGTTTTCCCCCTACCATCCCTTCCCTACCACCTCCACAACTACCTGCCCCCCAGGTTGTAAAGTCTGTTTTCAATATAGTGTTTTATACATCTCATTGTTACAATGGGTATTGTATCCTGTATCAACCTGTATCCTTATTTAAGCATTTTGTTTTAGGAAATAGAGATTTTAAAAAGAGAGAAAGGCAATAAGGGAGAGGGGAAGAGAAATAAAGAAAGAAAGCACACATGTCTGGGGTCCCACCAATATCCCTTCTAAAGTTCTGATGACTTAACGTTCTTCTTCTAGTTCCCTGCATCTTCAAGGTGTGGTCACCATCCAAAGAGGTGCCATTTAAGGGATATTCTAGATTTAAACTACAACATATCTGAGACTTAAACTGCAATAGATTCTACCCACACACATACTCCTTGTTTTTAGATAAAAACATCAGCCTTCAGCTGTACATAAATTTCCTGCCCCTGCAAAGAATCCTTTGACAAAACAATACTTAAATAAATAACCAAAGTGAGATTTAATTTCTAAAATATGATTGCTCACTGATGTTATCATATTAATCTTAATCAGCCCCGTTGGACAGTCCTTTGTGCTCACACAAAAGAAACACAATGTTCAGCTGAGCCTGGTGATCCATGCCTCTAATCTCAGCACCTGAGAGTCTGAGATAAGGAAGATTATGAGTTGGAGGGCCGCATAGACTATATAGAAAGACTTTGTCTCAAAAGAAGGAAACTAAAAACATAGGAAGGAAGTAGAAAATTTTAATGTACTTTGTAACCTTAGTACTTTCATCATTTCAGGAAGAAGGTATGTTTGGTAAATTCTGGCACTGCAATTATCTCAATGTTTGTGAGTTCAGGCACTTGACTCTTGTTAAACCAGTGTTCAATATGTTGTAAAATCCATACCCATAGCTTGAAAAACTTAGTAATTATAGTGTCCCTAGAAGTCATGAAGGCAATCAAAACTTCAGTAGTATAAAGCATCTAATTCCTTCCACCATTGTAATTTATTGAATTGTCACAATTATAGGGCCTGGAGTAGTAGAAAATGCAAGTTATTCATAATTGAAAACATACTTCTCCCAGCAACACTTTTGCTGATTAGTGACTGCCTAGCACATTTCTTGATGTACAGTTTATACACCCTGATGACTCAAAATATACAGTACATGCTGTTTTGCTCAGCACAGTGAATGTGTTAAATATGCAGGGACAGTTGGAAAAGCTTGAAAAGACAAAAACGCCTGCAGGAAAAACAAAATAAAACAAAACAGGACAGAACAGGATATTATCCAAAAAAGAGAAGAAAACACAACAGACTTCCTAAGCACTGTTTGTTACCATCAAGAATTTTAATTTTTTATCAATAATGTTTTCACTAATCATTGTAAGAATTAAACTCTCCCATAACGTTTCAGTGTATAAAACATTGATGGATCAGCTAGGATAAATCAGGGGTTCTGCATGTAAATGTTTATGCTTTATTCAACCTATGAGAGTTGTGGACTGGGTTATATGAAGCTTATATGCATGCAACTGTATTCCTGACCTCTGAGCATTTAAAATATAATAGCTCAAATAAGGCAAGTCTACAGCCTGGTGCCAGTGATTCATGCCTATAATCCTAGCTATTCAGAAGGCTGAGATCTGAAGGATCACACTTCAAAAAGAGCCCAGGCAGAAAAGGCCATGAGACACTCTCTCCAATTAACAAAGTGTCAGACTAGAGGTATAGCTCAAGTGGCAGAGCACTAGAAGTGAGAAAGCAAGTCAAGATGGAGCAAGGAGCACTGAGTTCAAATCCAGGTACCAGGTACCAAGTCTATAGATAGCTGTAATAAAATGTAGAGTAAAAAGTCAATAGGTACAATCAATTTTCTACTGGAGATGCCCTCCAGAGGTGATATTGCTCATTCAGAAGATGCTTTGGCCAACATGGTCCAGAACTCTCTGTGGTCCCAAAGGTCCTAATTCTGAACATACTTGATACATTGGCAGTGAAAAAATCATTGTAGGTACAACTGAATTGTACAGTTTGAAGGGTATAGTTGAAAAACCTGCTTTGTTTCCTTATTCGCATAATACTTCTATCTAGGCTTCTACTCCCCCAGGAGTAATCTTGCCTTCTGAGCACACAGTCCTAAAACATGAGAGCTAGAAGGAATCCTGAAGATGATTATTTTACTCATGAGGGAATGCAGGTCCTGATGAAGAGACCAGTGTGCCACAAGTCATGCAAGCAGTCATGTGGAAGGGCTGAGCTTGAATCAGTTGGCCTTGCTCGCAGTCCTGTGTTTTCCCTGGTCCATTGCAACCATGTACATTCAGCACGCTCTCCCTTTCTTTTCTCTGTGAACTAAGCTAGCTCATCTTATCAAAAGAGATGAGCTGAAATCAAGTGACTCAGTAAGTAAGATAAGACCTTGCTAAAAGGGGAAAAAAGCCTGTCTTTGATGAGTGGCTTTATTTAATCTTGGCGAAGTTTAAAAAAAATAGGAAGAAAATCTGAAGGAAAATAGCAAAGCAAGCAAGCAATTAATCCCCTACAAACCACAATACATCACTTATAATGTTGACTCCTATCTTTTGATTGATACATTCTATGAATACTTATATACACTCACAATCAGGGGCTATTATGATTTCTATTCTGCATTAAAAAGTACCACTCCCTGCTAAACATTTTTCAGAATGCCCAACATTGACAGGGGCTTAGAATCAGGATAACAGTTGCATTAACTGTCCAGTAAAATATATACAACTCATTTATTCTCACAATAAAACCTTTTATCCCTGTCATGCAGAAAGACATACTCAAAGTTACAGTAACTAGTAAGTGACAGAGCCAGATTTCAACAAAAATAGACACCCAAAATACTTACTTCATGAACACAAATCATGCAATTATTTGTCCATCATCACCAAAGAAATGGAAGCTCATCAGATAAACAATAAAGAGATATGTAAATAGACAACGATAAAACAAATCGGATTAGTTGAAGACTGCCATAGCAGTTTTAATTCCATCAGGAGCCGGAGAGGATAGAATGGTGGAAATGCTGAAATTAAGTCTAAAAGAGTATGTATGCTTTGGTTATCTTGGGTAGACTTTCTTCAGTGATACTATCTAGAATTTCTTCATATTCTTTTTTTGTCTTTTTCCCACATTTTTATTAACATCAATTAGGCATGTACATATACACATAACAGTGTACCTTCATCAATTCTCACATTTTCAGGCATTTTCCCTCATCCTCCTCCCCCTGCCCAAACAAATCTCAACAAGCTTCACTGTTCCATTTTCATTCATGTACATGAGGTCTTCATATTCTTAATATTTAATAAAATACCAAGTATGCAGTAATTTCTTGATAAAATTTGGCCATTGCTGTTAACAAGAGTAGCATGAGGCTTTCAACTTAAGAAATTTACCACCTATTTGTCTACCATAGTTCTTAAAATATTGATTGCTATTTTAATAAACTTGAGTGACCATAACAAATAAAACACAGACTGGGAGGCTTCGAGTCCAAGGTAAAGGTACCAGGATGGCCAGTTCCTCGTAAGGCCCACTCTCGGCCTGCACCTTGTTGTATCCTCCAATGGCTGGGAGAAGGACAGCAACTTCTCCAGTTCCTTTTCTCATGAGGATGCTGAGTCACGAGAGGGACCTCGTCCTTCAAACTTCATTTAATCCCAATTATCTTCCAAAGCCTCATCTCCAAATTCCATCATATGGGGGATTACGGGCTTCAGAACATAAATTTTGAGAAGACACAATTTATTTTATAAAAGTAGCTTGAAAAATGAAAGCTAAAAACTAGCTTGTTTTTTCCAGATGACATTACTCCAAGATTTTCAAGCCTCTAAAATAAACCTGCTGACCTTCCTGAAGGAGTAATATGAACATCTAACAAAGATTTGTTCTTTGATGAGAGTTGTGTTTTCTCTCTTTTCCAGCACTTGTTAGTTAAGTTTCTGAGCTGGGATTCATTATATCAACACTGCAATTACTGAAGTTATACTGAATATTTATTTATCACTCATATAACTGTAGGACCACCCTAGTTACCACAGAAAACCAGAGACATTTCTGCCTTCAAAGCACTTACAGTCTAATAGACAGTCCAGACAAATGATGTTGTGACAAAAGAGGAGGAGGGAGATGGCATTCCACTCAAGAATAGGAAGGCATTCTGGGATATTTCTGGAAGGGTATTTGTACTAACACTTGAAGGATGATTTTTCATACAACTCAACAAAGTAATCAACTTATGTCATATTTGATTAGCAATGAAGATCCAATGATCAAATCACCTAACTGTCCCCACCCCTTCATGACCAACAGACTCTCTGAGCATGTAAAAGTTTAGTTTCATAAAACAAGTGTGCATTTTCACACAGGGATCTTGAAAATAGCCAAATATGTGCTACTGGATTCATCAAAATGACCTTATTGAATTTTAAGTATTTTATCTATAAGTGGTGATTTATACCAATGCAATTATGTGTATATTAGGATCATCATGATGCCACCCCAGAGCCTAAAGTTCCTTGGTAATGAGTAGGTACTTAGGAACGCAGGTCATAGAGGAGGAGGAGCAGGAAGAGGAAGAAAAGGAAGAGGAGGAAGAGGAAGAAGAAGAGGAGGAAGAGAGGAAGAGGAAGAAGAAGAAGGGGAAGGGGAAGAGGAAGGAAGGAGAAGTTGTTTAAATGGACAAATAAATTAGGACCTGGGCATAAAGATAATCGTCTCTAATCCCAGCTACTCAGAAGGTGTGTGCGCTGGGCAGTGGAAGGAGGCTGTCTGAGACAAAAGAATCATTTAAGCCAGAAATTCAAGGTCAGACAGGTGAGACCTGCATCCAAAAAAGTACATATAATGATGTGTCTAGAAACATACAATTTGTATTTTAGAAGGTAACAGTAATAACAGAGAAGTGAAACTAGGAATTAGGGAGTATAAAGGTCTTTTAAAATTAAACAAAGAGTATGCCCTATACAATGTTTAAATCTTTTACTATGGACTCAGATTTATGTATTAATGTACGTATGTATGTATGTATGTATGTATGCATGTATGTATGTAATGTCGGTAGTAGAATTTGAATTTGGGGCCTGGTCACTCTCCCTGAGCTTTTTACTCAAGGCTAGTACTCTACCACTTCGAGCCACAACCCTATTTCTGGTTTTCTGGTTGTTATTTGGAGAAATGTATCTCATGGACTTTCCTGCCTGGGCTGCCTTTGAACCAACATCCTGAGACTTCAGCCTCCTGAGTATCTAGGATTACAGATGTGAGCCACCAGCACCTGGCAGATTTTTAACATTAAAATACAATATCTATGCTGTGATGGTAATCACATATATACTATATAGTTTCACAGCACAGATGTTTAATGGTGGAATTTTCCTCTTCTCCTGATTTCTTTTCTTGTTCTAATATTTACATAATTGAAGAACATCAACATAACAGATGACTGAAACACTCTTTGGAAGGAAGTAAAGTATAAATAATATATTTGTGCATGAAGAAGTAGGGAAGTATTGAATCAAGACAAGTACCCATAAAATATTTACAAGAGCCCACATTCTGATGTGTAAATAAAAAAAGAAATCACAAAACATCCTTAACGATGAGCAGCAGACACAAACCAAGACCAGTTGCATAGCTAGTCTGCCACAGCAAGTCCCATTAAAAAACAAAAAACACCAAAGGAGGAGGCTGCAATGCTTGATAAGAAATGTATGCATTATCCTGCCCATGTAATTGTAACCCCTCTGTACAGTATGTTCTCAAATAAAATAAAATAAAATTTAAAAAAAAAAAAAAAAAAGAAATGTACGCATTAACCTTCCCATGTAATTGTAACCCCTCTGTACAGTGTGTTCACAAAAAAATAAAAATTAAAAAAAAAGTAAAAAATAAATTAATTAATTAATTAAAAATTAAAAAAAAAAACGGGATGGGAAGGAGGTTCAGTGGTAGAGCACTTGCCTTGCATGCATAAGGCCTTGGGTTCAATTCCTCAGCACCACATAAGCAGAAAAAAATCTAGAAGTGGCGCTGTGGCTCAAATGGTAGAGCACTAGCCTTGAGGTAAAGAGCTGAGGACAGCGCCCAGGCCCAGAGTTCAGGCCCATGACTGGACCCCAAAAACAAAATCAAAACAAACAAACAAACAAAGCAAGGATGTGATCTGTTTGTCATTAAGAGAGAGATCAGCCAGGAAATGGAAACAAGAGGGGTTTTTTTTGTTTCTGTTTTTGTTTTTTTCACCTTGGTGGTTAATTGGTGATGAGTCTTACAGCCTTTCCTGCCTGGGCTGGCTTCGAACCACGATCCTTAGATCTCAGCTAAAACTACAGGCATGAGCCACTGGCCCCCAGTATAATTAACATTTTGTTGTCTTTTTGAGGGGATGACAAGATCCTGCGATTGTGGCACCCCAACATCAGCACCAAGCCTGTAGGGAAGCTGGTGGGACACATGTTCAGTATCACTGAGATAGTAACCAATGAAAAAGACCAGCACGTCATCAGCCTGTCCTCTGCAAAGGTAAGAAGAAAGAAAGAACAAGGGAGGTGAAGGGTAAACAAAGGAGGAGGCTGCAATGCTTGGTAAGAAATGTATGCATTATCCTGCCCATGTAATTGTAACCCCTCTGTACAGTATGTTCTCAAATAAAATAAAATAAAATTAAAAAAAAAAAAAGAAAGAACAAAACTGAAATGACAAATGTTTCCCAGAAAATTAAGTACTGGAAGACCTAGTATGTATGTATGTATGTATATATGTATGTATATATATATATATATATATATATATATATATATATACACTTGACAATGATAACTGGTAGTCACTGGGAAAAGTACTGACCATCTGCATAAGAAAATGATGAGCCACTATGCTGTTTGTATTGACTACAGCATAAGAAAATATATCTAAAGACAAGTGTAAAAAGAAAAAAATATTAGGAAACAGCCAGTATTATAAAACACAGAGGTTGTCTATTATAGATAGGAACATCATCATTAAAGAGAGAACATACAAGCTGAGCGCTCAAGCCTGTAATCCTTGCTGCTCAAGCCTGTAATCTTTGTGACTCAGGAAGCTGAGATCTGAGGATCAAGGTTCGAAGCCAGTCAGGGCTGGAAAGTCTATGAGACTCAATTCTCCAATTAATCACAGAAAAAGCAAGAAGTGGCATTGTGGCTCAAGTGGTAGAGTACCTTGAACAGAAGGAGCTCAGAGAAATAAAAATCAAATATCCTGCTATCTATAATCTGTTCTATGAGAGTTCTCTTATTTATAGTTTAATTACAATAGATCAAAGTGCAATACAGTATGTATTAATTAAATGTCAATTTGTTTTTGGAATTTTTCTAAACACTTGGAAATGTTTCATATGATATAATATTAATCACTTATTTAATTCTGCATTCTAGTTGTAATCCAATTATATTGTCTATGCCTATTCTCCTCCTAAGAATTTCCTTATTTAAAAGAAATAAATTAGGTTAAAAAATAAAAAGCTCAGGGTCAGTGCCCAGACCCAGAGTTCAAGTCCAAGAAACATCAAGAGAGAAAGAGGATGAGAGAGACAGAATACACAAGATACATTCTACATGGATTAAAGCCATAGAAGTTCTAGAAGAAAACATAGGTGAATATTCATATAACTTTAGGATAGTTTTCTATTTGTAGCTCTTATTGCTAATAATCAGAAAATAAACATAGTATTAAACATCTGATTTCTATGTACAATGCAATAATAGCTATCATTTTTCAAATAGTTACCACATACCAGACACTGTGCTAAGTATTTTACATACACATCTCATTTAATGCTAATAATGACCCTGTGGGCCTGAGGATGTAACTCAGTGGTAGAGTTTGTGCTTAGCATGCACCAGGTCCTGGGTTTGATCCCCAGCATAGGAAAAAAATAATACTTACACATTTGTGAAGGGAAAAGTGAGATCTAAGTAATGCTGCCATCACACCATAACCTTGTGGCTCAGTGTACCCAATTCTACGTCTTCTTCTATCCCAGAGAACCTCCTAAAGTTAAAGGTAGAAAATGAAGAAGACAAGCTGGAAGCCAGTGGCTCTGTCTATAATCCTAGCTACTCAGGAGAGTAGCTAGAAGAGTACTAGCAGAGATCTGAAGATCATGGTTCAAAGCCAGCCCAGGCAGAAAAGTCCATGAAACTCTTTTCTCCAATAAACCACAGAAAACTAGAAGTGGTCCTATGGCTCAAGTGGTAGAGCACTTGCCTTGAGCTAAAGAGCTGAAGGGCAGCACCCAGGCCCAGTGTTCAAGCCAGAAGAAGAAGAAGAAGAAGAAGAAGAAGAAGAAGAAGAAGAAGAAGAAGAAGAAGAGGAGGAGGAGGAGGAAGAGGAGGAAGAGGAGGAAGAGGAGGAAGAGGAGGAAGAGGAGGAGGAGGAGGAGGAGGAGGAGGAAGAAGAGAAAGAAAGAAAGGAAAAGAAAGAAAAGAAGAAAGGAAAAGAAGAAGGAAAGCACATAGAATTGCAACAAAAATGGCAGAGACAGGAGTAATACTCTTTAACAAGCAAACAAACCAATGGACAACAGAAAGCGTAAATGAGTAGGAAATAAAGAAGAAGGGGAAATGAAAGAAGTTTTAAAGTAGACAGGATGCCCAGCACTGGTGGCTCATTCCTGTAATCCTAACTACTCAGTAAGCTGATATCTAGAAACCAACCCAAGAACAAAAGCCTAGTAGAGTCCATCTCAAAAGCAATCAATAAAAAACAAGAGGTATGGCTCGTGTAAATATTATGGCTCAAGTAAAATATTAGCTTATGAACAAGAAAATGGAATGAGTTCAGTGTCTTCAATTTTGAGAGAGAGAGAGAGAGAGAAAGGAAAGAAAAGACATGTTAACAGAGTGCTTAGTGAGGATCAAAAAGAACATTGAAAAAGACCAAAGTAGCCTGAATATATATATATATATATATATATATATATATATATATATATATATATAGCTCTAAACTACCTCTCATCGTTTCTTTAGTAATATTCAACTGGTAAGCAAAATGGATTACACCATGTGACATGTTCAATATATAAAGAGGAAACATTTAAACAATTACATTTGAAAAGTAGGGCTCGCCAAGGGTTCCAAATGAAAATAAGGCTTTTCCAGTTCATTCCAAGTTGTAGAGGCCCCTCTGAACTATTCATGGCTTTGTGAAAAACATCCCCTTATCTTAGGGTACATGTGTTCTAAGACCCCTAGCAATGCCCAACACCATGCATCACAGCTCACCTTATGATCCTATACACTCAGGACAGAGTTTAATGTATCAATTTGACACAGGCAATTATAACAATTGATAATAAAATCGAACAATTAGAACAATATATGGTAATAAGATTGCCAGCATCGTTACTCTGGATCTGTGGTGCCATTATTAAGTAAAACTGGGGTTTTCTGAACATAAACACTGTGAATGCTTCCATAAGCAAGATGGGTACTAAGTGATTAATGAGGCACTGGGTGGATGTATCAGACAGAGGGATGATTCATGCTCTAGAAGAATTCCTCACAGTACTCAGAATGGTAGACAATTTACAACTTATGCTGTTTTATTTCTGGAAATTCCTGACTTCAGTTGACTGTGCATAAATGAAACCACAGGTAAAGCAGAAAAGTCTTAATTAAGATGCTCTGCTGGCCCAAGGCCATCTTTGGTACACACCAGGTGCCTATTTATCTGAACTACTTGTAGCTATTAAGTCAATAGAATATCAAGAAGAAGGGATTTTTCTACATTTCCTATTTTTATGAGACAGAATTTTCCAGAAAATGTCTGAAACACAATTATGGTAAGGTTCACACAACAGTTTGAATTTATTAAAAATGAACCTTATACTTAAAGTGGATCAATGTTATAGTATTAGGTGTTAGTTTAATATCATTGCTGAAGAAAATAGTGTGACATACTTACAAAATTAAAATTCAAGAGAAAAAAATTTGATTTAATAAGCTATGTTATCTCATTTTTATACAATGAACATATAGATAATACATATTGGTGTGACTATGTGAAATATAATGAAAGAATATATAATTGGCCCATTTGAAATTTTCTATTCATCTATGTTAAATTATGTTATGATTAACAATAATATATATTATTGCTTATCCAGATAGTAAGATGGGACATGGGTTAAACTTTTGTCTCTCTTGTCAATTTCTATAGCAAATATTTATTGCTTTTGTAATATAGAATCTTTAAAAAAAATTAAATTGTATAGGAAGATAATGAAGGTGTTGAGATGCTTAAACCAAAATCAAAATGATACGAACTTGTGACCTGGAGTCAGTCTTTTCCAGAAAAAAATGAAAGAAAAATAATGTATGTTTCTAGAAGAAAAAAAGGACATTCATGCTGGTAATAAAGGTGACAGGCAGAAGAGACAGCCTCTTTCATTCCTTTTTAGTGTGATTGTTGTGTTAAGACAATAGTCATCCAGACATCCTGCTTAGTATCTTTCCACTCCATTTTTTCACTAGTAAAATATAATAAGGATAAGCTCAGAGAGCTGTTATGAAGATGAAATGAGAACATTCATTTTATTATCATCAAGCACGTATTTCTGAGTGTCTATTTGAGGATCAGCTACCATTTGGGGAGCTAGGTTTTAGATAAAGAACATCCAATAAGAAGAGAAAGAGCCAGGTCCGGAAGGAATTTACATCCTAGGCAAAGATAAGCAAAGAAGCAGAGCAACAAATATACAAGAAAACGGTATGCTGGGGATTTGTAATAAACAGAGAACACGCTGGTGTGAGATGAGGGGTATCATCTCCAAGGAGCTGATAGGAAAGCAGAAGCCTGAATCACCAGTGAAACAAACCCCAGGAAGACCTGGCAAAAGGGAAACTGGGTCAGAAATGATAGCCAACCAGAACCAGGCTTGCCTCTGCTGAATCTGTCTTTGCCATTACCATTTTACTGTTTCTTTATTTTAAAATTTTATTGTAAAGATGATGTACAGAGGGGATATAGTTGTATAAGTAAGGTAATAAGTACATTTTTTTCATTGTTACCCCTTCCTTATTTTCTCCCGCTTTCCTCCCCCCACTTCCCTCCTCCCCAAGTTGCAAAGCTCATTTCTAACATAGTGTCCAGTGAGTATCGCTGTTGCATTGGCTCGCTTTTTGTCCTTTGTCCCACCATTTCTGTGATTTCCCCTTCCCTTCCCCAAATCAGATAAACTTGTATACCAGACAAACAGAAATCAAAAATAGTGACAACAGGGAATAAACCAAAGGATGTTTATTATCTTAAGATCAACTGACATCTCTATCTACCTAACAATGCTGCAAATTTCTTCTTGTAAGTTCACCAAGCTTTAATAATTATTCTATTTTACAATGTGGAAATAATGCACCTCCTCCAAAGCTCTTGAGAGACCTTCATCCTTCCTTCTAATTTTGTAGTATTTTCACAAAGATGTTATATTCTCTTCCAAATGCTAAAATTGCATTTCTCTTCCAACTGCTGCTAAAATTGCA